TGCCATAGCAACCAAATTTTTCAAACATAGGAAAAATAGAAAAAGACATGCAATTAATTATCTTCAGACTGCCATCTTACCCTATATCAAGTTTCATAAAAATATTTTCAATACTTTTTGTGTTATCTCAGGATTCAGTTTTGTGAACGGACTGCAGACGGACGGACAGACAGACAGACGGAGGGAGAGCAAACCTCAAGTCCCCTCTAGTTAAACTGGTAGGGGACTAACAAATGATTATTGAATGCTTAAAGGGTACTATTAGCTTTGGATTGTTTGGGTAACCTTTATAACACCTCATTACTGCATGGTCATGCTGTGTTGTAATTTACTCCGAGTTGACCATCAAAGCACTTTAACCTTAATAATTACCTGTGGATTGAAAATTGATCCATAAGTTGAATAAAAAATCAAACATTAAGGAATTGTTACTTTAATAACAAGGAGCTACATGAAAGAGATCATTTCTAGTTTAGATTCTACAGTAAAAACCTTAAATGAGCCGTGTCATGACAAAACCAACATAATGGGTTTGCGACCAGCATGGATCCAGACCAGCCTGCGCATCCGCGCAGTATGATCAGTGCCTGCTGCACAGTAAATGGGCCAATTTTTGTTAGCATCTAAGTCAAAAAATAAAGTTAAAACATACAAGACAATATTTGCTCTTGTTAAGTACCTTAGGGTGTCTATAACAATATTTTTTGGAAAGAAAGGATAACTTTTAGGATACCTTTTTCAAAATATTACATCTCTTGCGGACTGTGTGGGTATGGGACGGATGTTACAAAGATATACTAAAAGTCTGAATGTCTTACAGTTTATAATAAAAATTGTATTATTTCTCTTTATTTTATTAATTTAAAAATATTATGTGTTCTGATTAATGTTACAAAAAAAATCCAGAAAATTCATCTTAGATATAAAAATATTTGCTTTCAAATTTTGAGTATTTTTCACACAAAATGAAATTTTCAAACATGTTAGAAACAGAGAGAAATAAAACAAGGATAGGTACACCAAATCATATCTAAATCAAATATGCAAACACATTTCTTATAAAACAGTAGAAATTATAGGACTTTCTTATGTATATTTCTTGTCAGATAACCCAAAAATGAATTGTATCAGGGGGACGGATGTTACATTTTTGGGGGGACGGATGTTTACTAGATGTTTCAAGCTCATAGTTCATACTCTTTTTTGGTTTTATTTTAATGTAATATAATTTATAAAAGTATATGCTTCAGTACAATAAATGTAAAATAATTGAATAAATTATGAGAAAAATGTAGAAAATTATACCCAACAATTATGGAGTTTCTTACTCTTTGCGTTTTACAATTTATCTTACATTTGAATGAACATTTAAATGTTTGAAATAAAAATAAAAACATTGCTTAAATTAAATAAAAGAATCTTTGTTTCCAGATAATGCATTAACGTTAAAGAGAGAATGTCATATCAACGTTTCCTTTCTATACATGAAATTATTTACAAAATACTTAAGTTAAATAATAAGATTTATATTTGTAAAAAATATGATACAGTGTGAAGTAAATAAGTTTTCAGAATGAAACGTATGCAAGCTTATTGAAGCTTATAGAATTTCTCATTACTAAATACATAAATTATACACAATTAATAATTTTCATTAAAAATTATAAGATTTTAAATTGCTGCAATTAAGTTCTATCGATTTGATGAAATTTTAAGTAAATTAATGTGGAATGTTAGCAGCATTATCAAAAGATTTCATTAAGATTCAGTATCATAATCTCATTATTTCTAACTTTTAATAATTCTCTGTGTATATATTTCAGTGTACATGAACTGCTTAAATTAACTTAATGAACTAATTTGTCATTCAATAAAATTTATAGGTGCAAAATAATTTGCGAAGGGTTTATTTACAGAATAATTTTCACAATTATTCCAACTTTTTCATTACAGGAATCCTTACCTTATCCTTTACTTACAAGTTTCTTTCACTTTATTAATTAACAATAATTAAATGGGTCAAATTGTATGAAAATGGTAATCCCCCCCCCCCCCCCCTGTTTTTAAGCATAATATATATCACCCTAAGGGCTTAATTGGCACCCCTACTGTTTTGTAATATATCACACTTCCAAATATACAATCTACGCAGCTCCCAATATACAGCTCATAAACTTCCAATAAAGTGCCAGCCCCTTCTGTGTGTATAGAGTTAGGATCCATATCCCACTGTTTTATGAGGGGCTGGGATACATGGTTTGTTGGTTTGTTAACTATTTAAGGCTAAAGAATTTATGTTTTAACAATTGACCAATTTTAATCACAAATATACTTTTAACATCTCTATTGTTTGCACCTCTTTCTATATAACTATCCTGTTCTGGATTTTGTGTTTGTTTCTTCTATTTTTTTTAAATGGTATTTTATTTGTTGTGTGAAACATTCCTATACAGTTGCAAAGCTTACTACTTCTCTATCATGCATCATAAGAACAAGATAAGTTTCGTACTACTGTAAAAAGAATTTTTAGTTCAATTCTGTAACATCGGTCCCCTTCTGTACCCTTAGTTTATAAACACAGAATAACAAAAGATTATATTTGTTATAAATTCATATAAACTTAAATATTATCTTAATAAACTCATAGGTCCACTTGATGTTAAAAAAAAAAAAAAAAAATTATTTCAAATTAAATAATTTTTTTTCAGAGCAAAAAATACTGATTCTTTTTTCAAAATTAAGGAATTTAGTGTTCACAAATACTTTTTTTTATAAATACATCATTTCAGTGCTTTATTTCTGTTACTTCTTCATTTTTCATTGTAACTTTGGTGCTTTAGTGTAAAATTTGCTTTTCAGTTACAGTTTATGTATTAATTAATTAATCAACATAGTGTAAAACCAGAGAGTTCATGAACTGATCATCAACATTAGAGTTGGCAAACAAAAGTACAGTGAGGAAAATAATGCAAGGAAACCTAATACTCGCTTACTCAAGTTACTGGTGTCAATATTGAAATTCTTAAACACTGTTTCACACAAAATATTCCCTAATTTTTTTGGTACTTAAAGATGGTTCAAGCAAATTGCTTTAAAAAATTATACATACCTTGGAAACTCTATTTCATGTGAGTCCCACTCCCATCCATAAAATCTCTTCAATTATTGATCTTTACTGACATATTTTTTGTATTTCAGTCTGAATCCCTGTTTTGAAGTCATAGCTGTCTGTCACTGAAGTATTTACTGTGATAAGACTATAAGACATTTGAGCCACTACATCTTTCTGAAAAATTAAGGCCAGTAGATCTATATCTAAATAAAAGTATTAAAAAAAGAACAATATTACAAAAAAAATGGATTCGTTTTAATTTAAATATTTTGATATAAGATCTATATTGCAATTTTTCTTTAGGGATTCTTATTTCACTCTATTTCATGAATAACAAGATTAAACATATTTTAGGTAAAATCAATGGAAAAACTCACCAATTCTATCTATAAAAAAATCTAGATTTCTACTTGAAAATAATTGACAAAATAAAAAATTTATCAGAATCTATACTGGTTGGGGAGATAACTTCGGCTGGTTGATAAACTCGGCTTTTTATAATTAAATCGAATTATCAGAATTTTTAATCTAATCAAGCTCACCATCTCATACTATTGCTGGAATTCAACAATATCTGAAAATTTTGTCAAGTTTGGTAAGGTATTTAAAAAATAACACACACTTTTACCCGTTTGTTTACAAAACATGCCTATAAAAAGTACGGGAATCCCATTGTTGTGCGCATGTGCAGCAGGTGCTCATTTTAAGGCTCGCACAGGGGTACTTTTATATTTTGACCGACTACCGGTAAAGGTGACGACGTTTCAGTATACATTTTGTAGATGAAATTCTTGCTAACTCAGAAAAAAGGCTGATTACACAATTGTAATCTTTAAGTGAAATGGATTGAAAGACTGATGGTAAATGCACCTTTTATATGTTAATGTGTAAGTTGAATACCACTAAATTAATTTCTTCTTCACTCCGTTGAGCTAAGCAAAAATAAATCTGAATCACTAATTCTTTTACTACATATTTCGTTATACGTTAATAAATGATAATGCATGTGTTTTTACGTAAAAATGATTAATATGTTACAAGTCTGTTGCATATAAATATCGTGTTATCATAGATATTCATTATACGAACGTAATGCTCAACAATTAATATTGGTAACACATATTTTTATTTGACATAAATGAACAGCAAAGAAATAATAAAATGTCTAAACATGTTATTTTACGTTTTAACTTACTCATTTAAGAAGAAAAACAAAGAGCCGGAATTATCTACTCGCGCGCGTTAAAAATATCCCTTTTACGTACCTCTTCCAGGGCCTTTCAAAATTACCCGTTATGTTTCTAAATATAACTTTTATGGTGATACCGGAAAATCGAAGAGCTGAAGTTTATTATGGTGCAAGATTCATCAGAATACGTAAACAAATAAATGAAATATGCCCCCAAAACACTGATTTTTGGCCGAGTTTATCTCCCAAACCAGTATATATATATGTACAGTAGTTAGTAAATTTACTCACCTAGTCTTTAAGAAACAACCAGCAAGTCTACAGCACCTCTTGTAAGATCACATTAAATTTTATTTACCCGTTTAAACCTCAGCTTTGCGTGTCTTTAAACTACACAGGCAAACGCTTGAAGTTCAAAGAGTTTCAGCGGCAACGGACAAATCTTTACGCTTACACGGGGGAGTCAGGTACTCCGTATGCAAGACACAATTTTCGTGACAGCATTTTCGTTTATCTGTGACTTAAAATATCTTTTGTCCCAGGTTTTATAGAATAATTAAATTATCCTTTCCATCAATTATGAATAATTGAAATGTTGATTCATCAGAAATATCATTAAAACGTTTACACACTGTCATCGGACTGGACACCCCTTCAATGGCGTGAAAATGAAGTCGTCTAATTTTGCGTCATCAACTGCGTTGACCCCGTTGTGTGATTACCTCTGTGTATTCGGTCATCAAAAAAAGATTATGTGTCGGAGAAAACAAACTTCAAAAGGGATATTTGTGATGTGGAAGGGGAAATGAACGAACACGGATACATTTTGTAGCTTTTGGTGAGTTTTTTTTTGTTAGAATCTAGTCTACAGTACAGTACAGTACAGTAACTAAGAAAAATCAGGCTGGAAATGAAGAACTTAACTAACTTTTAAGACTTTATAATTTATTGAAACTGGTTCTTAAAAATTTTCTAACTTTGAAATATCTGGGTAGATTTTGCTTATATTTCTCCAAGTCAGTAAAATCTGTGTCAAAATATTTTCAAAGTGCAAATATTCCTGCCTCCACCAAAATGAAGACGATGTCAGGGTAGAAAAAACTTGAATTACCATGTGAGATTTCTTGAAAATTCAGGGTCCATGTCTATTTCACCCTGATTTTGCCAATTCTGGTTCAAAACAGGCCTGAATCGGTCCTGCTTTTCATAAAAGCCATGCTGATTTTTCGTATAGGTAGTGACGGTCCGCCCTGTCCCAAAATATGGTCCGCCTAGTCTCGAGTCACGGTCCGCCCTGTCTCACGGTCTGCCCTAGCTAAAGATACTTCAACGAACAGGTTTTATAGTATTGCTAGACCTGTTTACTGTCGCAACGTCAAAATAAAAGCGACATATAAAGTTATGGAAGCCAGAACTAGGTCTGCCCTGTCCTGCAGGCCCGCCGCCCCCCCCCAGCCCAACAAATTGTGCGCTTTAGGGCTTTTTCTTATATAGATGATGGTCGCCCTTGACACATCTATGAAATTTCAGATTATAAAATTGGTCTGTCTTGCAGTTCGAAATATTGAGACTACCCCCCCCCCCATCCTTCCCTACCATTTCAACATTTCTATATAGCCTAGCTATTCATAACAACAACAACATGACACTATTACACAATTTCATTACACCAATTTTTAGCTCGACTTTTCTATGAAAAGGGGAGCTATCCTACTCGCCCCGGCGTCGGCGTCGGCGTCACACCTTGGTTAAGTTTTTCGTACCACCCCACTTTATTTCAGAAGTATTACAAGTATGGCTTTGAAACTTACCATACTTGTTCACCATCATAACCTCCATCTACAGACAAGAGTACATAACTCTGTCAAGGTTTTTGACAGAATTATGGCCCTTTTTTGACTTAGAAAGTGTATTGAGCTTGGTTAAGTTTTTTTGTACCACCTCACTTTATTTCAAAAACCATTGGAGGTATTGCTTTGAAACTGACCATACTTGTTTACCATCACGACCTTCATCAACAGACAAGAGGACATAACTCTGTCAAGGTTTTTGACAGAATTATGCCCCTTTTTGACTTAGAAAATACATTGAATATGGGTAAAATCCACTTATTGCCTTAACCCTTTGAGATATTGCTTTGAAACTTTTAATGCTATTTCACATCATTACCCCCATCTGTACGCAAGAGAAGGTAACTCTGTCAAGGATTTGTTTTAAAAATTAAGGCCTTTTATCGACTTAGAATCTTGGTTAAGTTTTAGTACCAGTCCACTTTTTGACTGAACTGTTTGAGATATTAATTTGAAAGTTGGAATACTTGTTTACAATCATGATTCCCAAACATGTCCAGGAGAAGGTAATTCTGTCAAAGATTTTATTTGAATTATGGCCCTTAACTGTCAATGTTTTGTATTATAGGCAAGCACTAAAAAACTTAAAAAATCTAAAAAAATTCATTCCTATCCACTTGTTCACTTTACCATAAATTATGTCATAATAAAATAATTCTTCACTAAATATCTTAATGCTCATGGCCATTGTTCACTTTAAAAATACAGAGATTCTTGTATTGCCTTTTACTGCAAAAACTTTTTTTATTGGCAAGCAATAAAAAAGTCGAGCGCGCTGTCTTACGGACAGCTCTTGTTAAGTACACCAGTTTGATCTACATTTCAATAGAGGTATAATGAAAGTTGCCTAGTAGAATCTAGTGTCAGTTTATTGATACTAGATTCTAAATGGCATTTACAAGCTCCTGCCTCAGTCCTTCTCGTAAATACCAGCAGACAAGTGGACTTTTTTATCCCTGGCAGTCATCGAATTTAGCACTGGCCCGGTGGCCCATGGCCAGTGAAAATTTGTTAGGGCCAGTCTGAGTGTAAATATTAGAGAAAATGTAGTTAAATATTAGTAGGATAAATTCAAATCTAGAATTCGGGCCAGTAAATTCAAAACCATAAATTCAATGACTGCCCTGGACATAAGAAGATTACCGTTTATGAAAGAATTAAGTCTGGGTTTGGTTGTATAGGCCAGTAAAAGTAAAGATACACCTAGAACTAATTGCAAAAGAATTCTTATCAACACCTCACTGAAGAACTTAAAGAATCTTAAGTGCTTACCATAAAAAGTCCCGAAATTTTGCGTTTGCAATTAAAAAGATAAAATCGGTTTTATGTCATGATTTTTTCCGTTTTAAAACTTGCTCTGACTACGCTACTATACCAGTAGTTCTAGGTTGACCCCCAAATTAGGGTATATTGACTAGACTAGTAGTCTGGTTTTAGTTGTCCCCAACCATACACAGATATTGACCTTTCATTCAGGTGTTTTAGATTTTGTTTTAATTTTAACAATAAGGTTTTAATCTTCAGACTCATAATGACCTTTTAGGTTTATACACTTTTGATACATGTAGTTTATTTATTTATAAATGTGCCTCACAATTATAGATTTCTAATGATTTCTCCCAGATCCAGATTTATCACCCCAAAAATGTTTCACTTTAAAAGTGGAAAATGTTTAAAACTGATTTTTCCCCTTGATATGGATGAACAACAGCTCAAGATATACAGCCTAATATTGTTAAATTAAATTCATCCCAAAACTCAATTAATTGAAATCTCAATCTTCAATATGCTTCTAATGCTACACAGACCACTGGTGTCACAAGTTTATTCAACCAAAATTTTGATAAAAAATAAATAATTATATAAATGAATGATTACTTTTTGCTATTTAAATTGATTATTTGATTGCAAAGAATGAGGTTGATGTGTACTAAAATTGTCCAAATTACCCCTGTGAGAATTCCATGAATAATTCATGAACTGTTCATGAACATATTCATGGACAAGTTCATGAATGTGCATGAACAACAAATGAGACTTTTTTTAGTTCACGGACAATTCATGAATCAAGATATTCATGAACATGTTCATGAATATATGTTCATGAACATTCATGAATATATCGATTCATGAATTGTCCATGAAAGAAAAAAAAGTCTCATTTGTTGTTCATGCACATTCATGAACTTGTTCAAATGCACATTCATGAAATTGTTCATGAATATGTTCATGAGCAATTCAAAAACTTCTCCCAGGGGTCATAATAATGTGACATCACAATCAATTTTCATTTAATTCTAAGACTGCTGATTTGTACCAGCCATAAAATGCACAATAGACAGTGTTTTAGTACAAATACAAAACACAAAAGCCCATTACACAGGTAATGAAACTTGTTAAACACTGTGCTCATTGATTCCCTATGTACAAATTGAATTGTCATTAGAATTCACGACTTGCCAGTTTGCTCTTCAATTTATTTCTTTGACACAATTTTCCATAAGATTTTATATAGTCCATTATGTAAATACATCACTTTTTCTTCATTTTGCTAAGTCATTGTTATTTATTCCATTTTTTAGTAAGTTTGCACCGAAAGTTTGTTAAAACACATGTAGAACTTTGTTACTGACAGCCATGTTAACTATTGCATTATGGGTGTTACCAAGGTCAGCCAACTCTTGTTGATGATCAGTGAGTTCATGAACTCACGAGAGTTCATGAACTGAAATTTTTCAGTTCATGAATGAAATTTTTTCTAAAACACTAAAAAGTATTCACATGGGTTAAAATTGTAAAGACAAAATTTTTTTTTAAAGTTCATGATTATTGTCAGCTTGTTCATGAACATACCAAAATGTTCATGAACAGAGCAAGAATGATGCCAAAATGTTCATGAACACATCAACATGATCATGAACAGACATACATATTCATGAACTTGAATGTTCATGAATATTTGTTCATGAACATTTCTGCCAAGATGATGAACAATTGAAAGATGTTCATGAATATTCATGAACTGTTCATGAAAATTCATGAATTGATGAACATGCTTTCGCAGGGGCATGTTCAGAAAATAAAGTGATGATGGGGACTGCCACCCTCGATCAAAACGCCCTAACAGAAGGGGGCACATACCCCTTCTGGCAACCCCCTAATGTATCTTTTGGATCAGGGGGGTGGGTGGCGCCGAAAAAGTGGTCACTTTTTTAAACAGTATTTCTCAAACAAAACAAGTGTTTGGGCCCTACATAAGGCATTTTTTTCACCATTTGAGACAACAAAAGGGTGGGGGGGGGCTTAGAATAGAAAGGTGTATATATCTGGTAATGGGTTAAATTATAGCTGCCATTTTTTTCAAATACATTGTACACATGTATGTCTGACTGTGCTCTAATGGATGACAATTGATACAGAAAATTTTACTCAGGCTTGACTTAAATTCTATTACACTATAATATAAAGCATATATTCTGACTAATACAAAAAAACATGTAGTTAGAATATCAAGCTTATGTGGAAACTGTAACAGTTTAATTGCTTAGAAATCTTTTGCCATTAGGGTCAAAGTTGAAAATTCCCTACAAGAATTCGTAAATTGAAAGGTAAAAAAAATCAGTAATGGCAGAGCTTTTCCATATTGTTAAGTGATATGTGATGAAAAAACAAATCTAACCACATGACCCATATTGCCATATTCGTACCCAGTATATTATTTACTCCTGAACATTTATATAATTTATGTACTATGAGTTTTCTAATATTCAAATAGGAAAACAAGTTGACTCATTAGATTTAAGTGTCTTATTGTTTGTAAAACATGGTTTAAAAGTGTATATTATGCATAGTACTAATGTCTCCCTGGATTAGAAAATTCACCACGAATGCTTGGTACATATTATGTTAAATTCTCAATTTGAGTGCATGTGATACATTTTTCCCCCATTTGTTTTGTACTCAGGCACCATTAAGAAACTAGGGGGGGTGGGGGAATGATGACACTGGGACCAGTGACTTTTCATAGCAATCAGTGACAGCCATAGCAATCTGTGACTTTACAAAGCAACCAATGACTCCCATAGCAACCATTTACTTTCCATAGCAACTAGTGATATTTCATACCAGTTGGAGACTGCCATAGCAACCATGACTTTCCATGATGAAATTTACTTCCCTTAATAACCAGTAATTTTCTGGAAGTTCCATAACCATTGAAATAAATTTCTTAAGTACATACATTGTACCTATGATCTCTACCAGCATCAACTTAATTCTTAGTAACCAGTGGAATCCATAGCAACCAGTGTCTTATCTTCCAATTTAAGCAACCTTTATCTTTCCATAGCAACTGTTGACTTTTCTTTTCATATCAGTTACAGACTTTCCATAAGAACCATTGACTTCCATAGCAAAATTTGATTTTCTATAGTAACCAGTACCATTGACTTTCATAGCAACCTGCTGGCCAGCAGGAATCGAAGGTCACTGCCGCCTTTACTACCAGTAAAGAGCCAGGCTTTATTGTTAGCTGACCAAATTGATAATGAAAGTTTTATAAATGAAAGCTAGACAATGTCTATTTCAGAAATTTATCAGGTTTAGCATTTATCTGTATTTATTTACCCTAAAACTTATTATTTTCCTAAAATTTAAATTTATACTATAACACAATTGAATATGTTTGTAATGGTACAACAGTTAAAAAATAGTTGCTTAAAATTTCAGGTTCCAAGCCTGTAAACTGAGCCAAGCAAAATAGATATGTGATGGAGGAGACTGGTGATTACAAACTAATCAAAAGAAGAATATGTAAGTGAATTGACTATTGAGTACAAAGTTGTTGTGGTGTTTAAGGGATTTTAGGGTTTTAACTTCTGCATGAATGATAGGAATTCAAAATGAATTGGTTAATGCAGCTACCATTAGTAGATGATGTATTGCGTGCTATTCTTAAGTCCCTCGATCAAAGTTATAGCAGTGAATTAAAGTGTATTCATGCATTATGTCAGGCATGAGCAGGTACCTGAGTAGATAAACCAACATTCTGTAAGATGTTTGATTTATGTAGTTTCCTCACATGAAAGTACACAGAGTCGTCAGTGGGAGTTGCAAGTGATTTGAAGTCAACTTATCTAAGCCAAGCACACCCCATTGTCTGCTTATCTGAACTCTGTTCTTTGAATTGAATATTCATCAAATATCTGATATTGGTTGAGACAGTATTGTTCCAGTTACTACAGCATTCCTTTGGACCACATTAAATATGCATTTGTTAATTGTTATAATGTAAATATTACCATTATTTCAGGTCATATCTTGGATAAAAGTGGTTACCTTCAACAACTAGATATATTGGTTACAGTTAAATTAAGTAAGTACTTGTACAATATCTACAAAATGTGCTAAAATGATACTTTAGACAGTACTTTACCAAATACAATTCTCTTTGCCTGTTTTGTTCTTCAACCATTTGAAACTCTTTAGTAATCACAGTCCTCTTGTCTTGAGGAAATTTAAAGATCAATTACCCTTTTATATATCACCTCTAAAGAGAGCATATATTTTGTTAAGTAAAAATGGCTTGGCCCTATAAAGAAATTTGTGAATGATTCTTGTCTTTCACCTTAAACTTACTCAAAAAATAATGATGCAATATAAACATTTAAATGTATTATATGGACTATAGTTAATATGCAATTGTAGACATAAATAATTATTATTCTTAAGTTTAGTTAGTAAATTTGTTGAATAATTTGGCCTCTAAATAAATGTCTGTCTTTTAAAGGCAATTGCATATCTTAATCAATGTCACAGTATATAAATTGAATATGAAGTACTGTATTCATCAAATTGTGAAATATAAAAAAAGTAAAATAGTTTTTTTTGTTTATTTTCAGATATTGTTGTTAAGAAGATTTTCCCTATTCATCTTAGAGGAACAGAAACATGTTTGGATGGAACATGTGCTTAAACTTTGCATAAGTTTTGTTGAAACTTCCATTTGATACTGAAGATGGTTGTTGAATATTGTTTGTTAACAATATCTATATGGCTTTAAAGAGAGATGTTGACAGGTGCAATTTTAGTGCAAAAAGTGCATGTGTAACATGTTGAATGAACAAACAATAGTATGCAGTAAAACACCAGGAATCATTATGTTTTCATAACATTTTAACAACTAAGTAAATGGGTCGGAATGTCCATCTATCCATCCATCAAAAGTAGATATCTACATGTTAGTGAAACTTAATACATTATAGATGGATATATCTCATTGGGGAGAAATGATGTGTTGAATTTGTATGCCCCCCTTTGAAGGAGGGGGGGGGGTATATTGTTTTGCTAATGTCAGTCCGTCGGTAGACCACATGGTTTCCACTAATTATCTTGAAAACTATTTATCATATAGTCTTAATATTTCACATAATGATTGGTCATAACTAGTAGATGACCCATATTGATTTTGGGTTCACTAGGTCAAAGGTCAAGGTCACAGGAGCCTTAAATGTCAGAATAGTTTCTGCTGATTTTTTACCAGGTTTTTCCGAAGGAAAAACTGGTTATTAGAAGATTGAGGTAATGTCGGCGGGCGGGCGGACGGGCGGGCGGGCGGGCGGGCGGGCCGTAAACAATTTCCTTCTGTGCGCAACTCCTCCTACATTTCTTCAACGGATTTTGACCAAACTTCACAGAAGCTTTGTCATCAAGTGCCCTGGCGCTATTGTCGGGGTTTTGCGATTAGATAATATTTGACCTAATTATGGCCCTTTGTTTTTTTTTCTTATATAAAATATATAGTGAACATATTTTTCTTCTGTGCGCACTCCCTCCTACATTTCTCAACGGAAAATTTTGACCAAACTTTCTCAGAAGCTTTGTCATCAAGTGCCCTGTCACATATTGCCAGGGTTTTGCAATTGGTAATATTTGACCTAATTATGGCCCTTTGTTTTTTTTTCCTTATATAGAATATATAGTGAACAATTTCTTCTGTGCGCAACTCCTCCTACATTTCTCAACGATTTTGACCAAAACTTTCTTAGAAGCTTTGTTATCAAGTGCCTGGCACATATTGTCGGGGTTTTTGTGATTGGATAATATTTGACCGAATTATGGCCCTTTTGTATATTTTTTTTCTTATACAGAATATATAGAGAACAATTTCTTCTGTGCTCAACTCCTCCTACATTTCTCACACGGATTTTGACCAAACTTTTCTTAGAAGCTTTGTTATCAAGTGCCTGGCACATATTGTCGGGGTTTTTGTGATTGGATAATATTTGACCGAATTATGGCCCTTTGTATATTTTTTCCTTATACAGAATATATAGTGAACAATTTCTACAGTGCGCAACTTCTCCTACATTTCTCAATGGATTTTGACCAAACTTTCACAGAAGCTTTGTCATCAAGTGCCCTGGCGCTCATAAATTTCCCATGTTTCTTCCAAGACATCATTCAAGTATTTTTTTAAAATTGTGAACATACTTTTTCTTGATATCGCACAAAACACCACAACAGCCAATATTGTTGACAAAAGAAAATGACAAGAGAACGCAAAAATGCAAAAATTAAGCAAAAAATAAAGTACATGTACTGTTTACCTTTCTAAAATATTTTTGGGAAAAAAAAGGCGAAATAGACAACATAAAATTTCTCAATCATTTTTGTTTGAGGAATAATTAAAAAAGCCATAATTCCTCCTAAAGTTCAATTAAAAACAAATGCCCCTTCATGACAAACGCTTCTGTGAAATAATTTTGCTGAAAACACTGGTTGCATCGCATTGCGATGTTCCTTGTCTTGAAAATAATTCATAAAGTAAAGTTTCATGATTTCACATATTAATTGGTCATATCAAGTAGATGACCCCTATCGTTTTTGGGGTCACTAGGTCAAGGTCACAGGGGCCCTTAAATGTGGTCAAATGGTGTCGCTGATTATCTTGTAAGTATTCATCACAGAAGTCGTCATACTTTCACATAGTGATTGGTCGTTATAGTAGATGACTTCTATTGATTTTGAAGTCACTAGGTCAAAGGTCAAGGTCACAGAGGCCATTAGTTAAATGTCAGAAGGGTTTCTGCTGATTATTTTCTTGAAAAGAATTCATCACATAGTCTTCATATTTCAACATATTGATTGGTTATAACTAGTAGATGAACCCTATTGATTTTTGGGGTCATAACGTCAAAGGTCAAGGTCACAGGGGCCTCAAAATGTCAGAATGGCTTCTGCTCATTATCTTTGTTATAATTCAATCAAAAAGTCTTCATATGTCACATAATTTAATTGGTCGTAACTAGTAGAATGACCCCTATTGATTTTTGGGTCACTAAGTAAAATGTCAAGGTCACAGGGGCCTTGAATGGTTATATGATTTCCACTTATTATTATGGTTACTACTTATTACCAAAAGTCTTCATATTTCACATATTGAGTCTCCTGATTTTCACGCTCTTGTTAATTCTTCGGCGACCTATCTTGTGCCCTTGGGTTGCTTACCATTGCTGACTTAATTTTTCATCCGAGTAAATAGTTGTGTAGAAAAGTGGGTGTAATAATAACTGACTAAAGTGAATAAATTTAATTATTGCTTCTTATATAAGTAAGAAAAATGCTTAGTCTTTTTTTGTTGCTGTACCTCCGGGGAATTCAATAAGGCCCCCGGAACTAAAAATATTTTTACTCTTGGTTAATAGTAGGTTTGGCCAAACTTAAGCTTAGTAGGCATTTCATCAAACATTTTAAACAACCCTTGATTTCATGAAATTCGAAAACTGTTTTGTCTTGTAAACATGTAAGAAAGCCTTTTTTTTTTATTTCAAGTTGCAAATGTTAGTAAGTATTCTTGTTCTGTTTGATCAAACCTAAAGTTAAATGTTTGTAGTTTTTTTTTGTTTTTTTTCAAAAACATCATTGCAAGTTTTTCAGTCAATTTTTAAAAATCTGTAAAATGCCATTACATTTTTAATTGTAGAAGACTAACTTATACTGTACATATGTTAGAAAAATTGTAGATGTGGGTTAGAATTATATTTAAATATATCTGTAAATTTTGGGTTTTAATGGCCCCCTTAGACTGTAAGAATATAATTTCCTTTTTTCATTTTGTTCAAATGTTCTCTGCTGTAACATTTTGAATGAAACTTGTATTAAATGCTTCAATCTATTGTCAGTAAATCTTTTTTTCGGGCATACTTATGTTAATACCCCATGGCATCCTTCTGTCTGTCCGTCCGTCTGTCCGGGTTGCAATTTTTGGTTTCCGGAGGTCATGACCTAAGTTCCATTCAAGCCCAAATATTTCAAACTTCATAGGATTTTATGTTGTCCATATTGGTTTAAAAGACCCCTATTGATTTTGGGGTCAAAGTCAAGGTCACTATTCGGCCATAACCCACTGAAAAACAGTTTCCAGAGCCATACCTTAAGTTCCATTTGGCCCACAATAAACAAACTTCATAGGATGATTGTCCATACTAGGTAGAAAAACCCCTATTGATTTTGAGGTCAAAGGTCACTATGACCTTTGCACACTGAAAAAGTTTCCGAAGCATAAACTTAAGTTCCATTTGGCCAACAAATATTCAAACTTCATAGGATAAATTTTGTCCATATTGAATTAAAGACCCCTATTGAATTTTTTTTGGGGTCGCAAGGTCAAAAGGTCAAGGTCACTATTACCTAACACCTGGAACACAAGTTTCCGGAGCATAACTTACAGTTCAATTTGGGCCCACAATATACAAACTTTATAGGATGATTGGTCCTATTGGGTATAAACCCCTATTGATTTTGGGTCACCAGGTCAAGAGGTCAATGTCACTATGACCCCTTGACATGAAAAACATTTTCAGGCATAACTTAAGTTCCATTTGGGCCACCAATAAACAAACTTTCATAGGATGGATTGTCCAAAATTTGGGTAGAAGACCCATATTGATTTTGGGGTCAAGAGGTCAAGGTCTCCTATTAGCTTAACACTCCGAAAACAGTTTTCCAGAGCATAACTTAAAGTTTTCCATTTGGCAAAAATATTTCAAACTCATAGGATGATTGTCAATATTTGGGAAGAAAGACCCTATTGTTTTGGTGCACAAGGTCAAAGGCAAGGGCACTATTACCTTGAACTGAAAATTTTTTTCGGAGCATAACTACATTCATTTGGCCCAATACTCAAACATATAGGATGATTGTTCATAATTTGAGTAGAAAGACCCCTATTGATTTTTTGGTCACAAGAAACAAGGGCATAGGCCCTATTATCTTAAAACTGAAAAACAGTTTCCAAGAGCTTAGCTTATGTTTCCTTTTTGGCCCACCAATGTTCAAACTTCATAGGATGATTGCCATATTAGAGTTAGAACACCCCTATTGATTTGGGGTCACAGGGTCAAAAGTCAAAGGGTCACTATTTACCCTTAAAAACTGAAAATCAGTTTCCCAAGAGCTACCTTAATGTTCCTTTTGGCCCACAATTCAAAACTTCATCAGGATGATTGTCCATAATGAGTAGAACACCCCCTATTGATTTGGGGTCACAAGGTTAAAAGTCAAGGTCACTATATTCTTTTAAACTGAAAACCATTTCCGGAGCATAACTTATGTTCCCCTCCCTTTGGCCACAATATTCAAACTTCCATAGGATGATTATCATATTGGTTAGAAGTCCCCCTTTTTAGTTTTTGAGGTCTTAAAGGTCCCCAATGGTCAGGGTCCACAATGATCCTTACACTGAAAAATTGTGGGTTTCTTGAGCATAACTAAAGTTTCCATTTCGCCCACAGTGTTTGCAAACTTCATCTGGATTTATTGTCAGTATTGTGTTAGAAAACCCCTAAAAAAATTTTGGGTCCCAAGGTTCAAGGTCACTGAAAATGGTTTTTCGCCCTCAATTTGAGTATTAATCAAACCTACAGCTTATATTGATTACATTAAAATTTCTAAAATATATTCCTAAAAAACATTTTGCTTACTATATGTTCAAACCCTGGCGTCTTATCTGCCATCTGTTTAAGTAAAGCATTTTAATTTCCCTGTCCTTACAAATCTTCATCCTTACTAAAAAAAAAAACACGTTCGGGCATATAATTGCCCCCAACTAGCGAGTCCTTGTTTTAATTTCCAAAAATGTTCGGCTGCTGTAAAATTTTGAATGAAAACTTGTATTTAATGGTTCTATCGATGTCGGTAAATCTTTTTTTTTAAACCTTTGTTAATTGTTTTACGCTCCAAAACCATCTTGAAATTAAAACACTGATTTACAATAATTCATTCTTTTTTGCCTTTTGTTTCTAATTTTGCGAAAAAGTGCTGAACATTTTTTTTTCTCAAAGCATTTAAATTTTTGATGATTTTTTAAAACTTTATTGAAAATAAAGAGTAATCTTTTGAAATTTCTAAAAAAAAGTTTCGTGCCCTAAATTTTCCATTAGTGAATTCTTTAATGCCCCAAAAAAGTCGCCTTTTATATATTTTGTACATGGTATATTGTAAAGTCTTTGTAAATTGTTTGGGTGCCC